CTTTGTGGCCATGCATGTTCTCACTGTCAGGTCATGCAGAGCTGGTGAGATGTGAGGTTTGGGGCGGAGGTGGTGGTTGGTGGTTAGCTTGTTGGTTTACCAAGTCATTAGCTTTGGCACAAAGAACTGAGAAGAGCAACCTTGTGACGAAGGTTCTAAATTACATGTGGGGGAAATACCATTCACGTTCTAGTAGCCTTTTCCTTTATGATGCATTTACAGGGTGTTTCTGGTGTCAAGCTTTTGTGTGAAACGACACAGCACTTGCAGTGGACTTCTGTGTATTTACATTTCCAGAAAAACAGTTCTCGTTTTCACTTGTAACTGTGATATCATTAAATTAACTTCTGTGTACTGAAGAAAGATGAAATACGCTATTTTAAAATAGCAAACTTCAAATGATTGTCTTGACAACTGCATACATGTTTGTTGCAGACGTATCTCTTTCCTGACTGAAGCACACACATATCCGTAAGTAGAGTTCTCTGGGAGAAACTCAGAAACACAAAGAAATGATGAATTTTTAAAGAGTGATGCGGCCATACTGTCGAGCTGTAAACACAGCCATAGCTTTCTAAGCTAAGCACAGAGAAGCGCCTTGTTTTGCACATTTATGATTTCCCATTTTCTCTGTTTCACAGAAATTTTATCGGTTTTTGTGATAAACAACTAATGTAACAGTGGTAGAACAGATTGTTTTTAATTTCTGTTCCCAGAAAACAATACACTTTCGTGCTGAATTGTTCGGTTGTGATTAATCACTTTCTTCCTTCCGAAAATGGAAGTTCCGGAGTTACAGGCTGTGAGGTCTCCTGCTGCTTTCCCATGTGCTGTGGGCACAGCTGTAATATGAGGTTTCTCACTCATGCCTTGCTAAGCAGATTTAATCCTGTTGTAGTGCCTCCTAGGTGATGCAGTATTTGTTTCTAGTGACTTATGGAAATGGCCAACCAGCTTGTGGCTTTTGTTGGGTTTGGCCACAGAAATTAAAGTGGACTTCAATCAAAAAACCCTACAAAGGTGGGGAAGGGTCTGTAAGGCAAGGTGTGTGGAGAGCAGCTGAAGTCCCTCGTTGTGCTCAGCGCAGAGCAGAGGAACTGAGGGGAGGCCTGATGGCGGTGCAGCTCCTCACAGGGAGCGGAGGGGCAGCGCTGAGCTCTGCTCTGTGTGACAGCGACAGGGCCGAGGGAACGGCATGGAGCTGTCAGGGGAGGGCAGCTGGGGGTCAGGGAAAGGGGCTGCAGCACAGCGCCGTGGGCATGGAGCGGGATGCACAGGGCTGTGGTTTCTCCTCGTTGCATTAGTCTAAGCAGAGATGCCTGAGTATATCGGTCTAAATTGACAGCGAGCGCAGTGTGTAGTCCCACACAAGAAATCCTGAGCAAAACCAGAGGAGGGGAACCATCTGCTGTAAGCCATGTCTGCGTCCTTTTCGCTGCAAGCAGTCTGACACTTGCTGTATAGCATACCTGCTATAAAAGGTGGCATTCCTTTGTGCTTGGGACTATTAAATGAAGGTATTTCCACAGTTGGCTATAGACACATTCCCAGGAGCCACTAAAGGCAAGGGGATTGCAAACAGAAGAGGCAGAATAGCATGGACTTGTTGCTGTTTATACTCTTGATATAGAATGTTTTGAAACAGAACTGTATGAACTGATAATCTTATGTTTTGTTGTTTGTTTTTTTTTGTATGCTCATCACCTTGGTGTTGTGATGCAGGATTGCAGGATTCTGGATATTAAAAGCACAGTGTGCTCCTATAGACATTTCTAGTAGTATATATTATATATCTGATGTGTAGGTAATGAAATAGTTACTTATATAAAATAAAATAATACAATTCCAGCTACTCAGAATGTATTCTGATTGCTAATATATACCTTCCTCTGATTATGTCCCTATTTTGAAATCTGTCTCATAAATTGTTTTTAATAGTCTTTTCTTCATTTCTTAGAGCAAATCAAAAGTGATTTGCTATTTTTTCTGTGTTTTTTAGTTTACATTTTTAGTTGGACTTGTCCATTTCATTTCTGTTCCCCCATGCCCCTTTCCTCCCCCCCTCACCTTCTCCCCCCCCCCCAAAAAAAAGGGTCTTTCCTTTGACGCTGCAAATAGCTGTGCAGAGTAAATCTGAGTATTTTCTGAAGTTGTAGTGTAAAGCTGAGCTGAAAGATTCTTTTTTCTCCTGGACTGTTGCTTTCCTGAGTTCCTTGTAAATTCTAAGGAATGAATTCTGGCTTACCAACAGAGTTCCTTTCTTGCCATTGCGAATTGCTTTGCGACTCGCTTTGATAACATACTTTTTTCTTTTTTTTTCTTTTTTTTTTTTTTTAATTGCAGAATGATGGCCTTCGATCCTTACCCTTGTCTGGCCATGTTGGTTTTGATACTTTACCTGATCAGCTGGTTAACAAATCCATCAAGCAGGGCTTTTGCTTCAACATTCTTTGTATCGGTAGGTGCTGTTTGGTTGTAAGCTACACCTCTCCTTAGGAATTGACTCGTTAAGCATGAAGTGCAGTTCCACTCTCTCCCCAACTTTGCTCATTTGTATCAGTAATTTTGGTTTATATTTAGCATTTTTATAAAGAACAGGAAGACAAAAAATGTTGAAAGTGGGCATCGTGCACTTATGACTTGTAGATAGCTTCTTGGATTCTTTTGAGTGAATGAGGCTACACGGTTTTTACTGCAATAGAGCTTTAGGTCAAAAAGTTCTAAAATCCAAGGTGATAATACAGACATATTTCTATGCTTCCCAAATAAATGCTTTTTTATAAAAATTGTCTAACCCTGTGGTTTCACAGGTAGTTACTTAGCTTTTGAATCCAATGGTAAATTTGCCTGCAGTTCTGCTTATTACTCATTATAGGTAAGTATTAACTGTCTCCTGTCTGTGTGATAAAAATTTACAGAAGGTATTTAGTGCTCCTTATATTAAAAAAAAAAAAGGAATGCAGCAACTGTTTGGAGAAATTATTTAATATTTTTTGGTGGATTTATCAGGTTGTTCTGATAGCACTTGGTGTGCTTGGCAGGTATTTTATTTCTCCCCCAACTCTTCTGTTTAACTTTAGGGGAAACTGGATCTGGGAAATCTACCTTAATAAACAGTCTGTTTAACATCAGTTTTGATGACTTGGTGTCAACTCATTTTCACCCAAATGTAAGACTTAAAGCTCAGAGTTACGAACTCCATGAAAGCAACGTTCGTTTGAAACTAACCGTTGTGAGTACAGTGGGATTTGGTGACCAGATAAACAAAGAAGATAGGTAAGTGTTGCCCTGTTGCTAATGCATGCAGAAGTTCTTCAATTCCAGTTTGATTCTTCCTTGGATTTTGTAGTAAATATTTTTCTTACGTGTCTACTAAATATTTGGTTAACCATTTTCTCTGTGTACCACAGCAGGTAGTGTTTTCCTTCTTGTCTAGGAAACTGAGAAATCAGCTAAATCTGCTCCCTTCTTTATAATAAAATCTTTTATAAATACGTGCAAATAAGAAGTGCAGTAGTGCGTAGAGTTTCTTCTGAGCAGGGTGATAAGTTCCATGGGGGACTATTTAAACAACCAAGAAGGTTATGATGTACACTACATTATAGAGAGTAGATCTGTAGGTTGTTGGTTGTAGGTTTTTTTTGTTTTTGTTTTAAATATTGGATTATATTAAGGACTTCAAACAGGAAGGAACATCATGTGGATTCTTGAAGTCCTTTAAGTTGGTCAGCTCAATCAAAAGATACAGAAGTGCAGTGTCAGTTTTGTCTCTGCTGTTATGAACTGAAGATTTTAAAATATTGAACTGTATCTCAGCAGATTTTTTCTTTCATTATAATGAATTCTAGTAGTCCTTCATGCTACATCGGTGCCTAAATTGTGTTAGTTATAAATGAAGGTTAGACAATCACATTAAGATTGTCATGAGATCACTGTCCTACGATATCATGGGAAAACAGCTAATGCTAGAGACTGGGATGAGTGTGATGTGTGTAGATATTAATATAGATACTAGAGATGTTGATATATTATATTGTAAGAAGCTGCCTTTTAACCCTTTGTTAATTTTGGATACAACTATTGCTTTTGAACTTTGTTTGCATTTGACTTGGTCTAGTAGATTTTAGTGGCAGCAAAACTGTGAGGTCCTGCTTGGACATCTGGCAACACTTTCTTTTTGAAAGGAGATTATAGTTGTGCTTTAAGCAGGATGAAGCTTGCTTAAACTGTACTGATGTTGCAAATCAGATTTTCATTCTTCTCTCACATTCCTCCTTTCCAATTTTTGTTTATTGTTTAAGAGCTCTCTCATGTACAGTACTTCATCTTCAGAGGATTCTGGAAGTCCTATTTCTTGGTACTGGTAATTGCATGTTCTTTCTTGTATCTAGAAGTTTTGTGTGTCTTTCTCGAATCTAAGTGTTCCGTGGTTGCACAGCTTCATGGCCAAAGTTTATAAAACATCTTTTGAAAAGATCACTAATAAGCAAAAGTAAATTTACCTAGCCTTTTTTTTTTCTTTTTCTCCACTTATAATAGCTACAGAGTATTTTATCTGTTTTAGGTGTACAGTTATTTTTGGAGTAGCCTCTCAGAAATTAGGATCAGTGCACTTAATTTTCTGCTGTGTCATGCAGCTACGTGAGCACCCTGTTCAATTGTAAAATGAAAATGCGCACAACAGTACAAGATTAATTTCTTTCTTAGCTTGTTTGGGAACAGCTAATGTCTGGTTATTTCATTTTATTTTATTTCTTACAGCTATCAGCCAATAGTGGATTACATCGATGCACAATTTGAAGCCTATCTCCAAGAAGAACTGAAAATTAAACGTTCTATATTTAACTACCATGATACTCGCATCCATGTATGCCTTTACATCATTTCACCTACAGGCCATTCCCTAAAGACTCTAGATTTGTTAACCATGAAAAGTCTGGACAGAAAGGTAAGACTTTGAAACAGCTCTTAGGACTTGTTCTGCTTTCTGACTCATCTTGCAGCTTATAAGTCTGCTACCAACTCTTCGTTCCAAATCTGTGTGATTGGTTTTAGGAGATTGTGTTTTGTTTGTTTGTTTTTTAACTTCAGAACCACTCAGTTCAACCAAAAGTTTGCAGTTCATCACTTATTTATTCACAAGTGGGAAGAACACAGACAAACAATCTCTTAACATCTTACTGATTGGATAGGATACGCTTCATGAGTATTGTAATGTTTCTAACGAAGTCTGTAGTTTCTAGTTCACTATCAAGTTTTGAGGCTGCTGGAAAATTGGTGTATAGAAAACTTTGCAGCACTGTAAAGATGTTTGTTATAAACAGCTGAAGAGGTGAGTGCTGTGAGCTCGTCTAGCCTGACTTTTCTATGATGGTCTGTGTTAGTGTTTTAAACTACACATATTGTTTAATTTTGCAACCATTAAAATAGTTTCTAGTGATTATTTCTTTCTAAATTCTAAATTCTTATGATTCTTCTTAGAATGGGTTTGTGTGAATTGGAAGAAGCTAGATATTTGAGCCATTTTAGGAAATCTTGTTTGATAAAAGAAGAGAGGAGAACTCTTCTATTTTCTGTTAAAATGTTAAGAATTTGGAATGCTGCAGTGTTTGGTTTTATTGCCTTTTAGTTTGTGTTTTACTGTCAGCATGTTCTTTTTCCTGTACATGAGGTGTAAGTGTACTTCTTAACATGTGGACACCTTCAAATATACTTAAATATACGTGCCAAATACCAACCAATGATAATTTTAAGTATGAATTTTTTTTTTTTTTTCATTCTCTCTAGCATAATGGAGCAGCAGATGCTTTGACATTAATGTGAGGTGTTACATTACAATTGTAATTTAGAAAAATAGTCTATTTTCTAAATGTGAGGGAAGAAAGTGATACTTTGCAAATCATGGATATGAAGGATGATCAAAGGGCTGAATTTGGTGCTAACACACAACAAAACTGTGTGCATGGATAAAGAAAAACCTTTATCCCAGCGGCTTTTTGTTGTTGTTTTAGTTGAACTACTTTAAACTACTTCTTGAAGTTAAACTTCAGTAAGTCTGCACTGCTGTTTGAAAGAAGCAGGCTCAGCTGCTCCTTCACACTGTGCATGCTTAAGTGCTTTCCTCAGTCAGTTTCCTGGATGAGGAGACTGATTTAAACTGAAAACTAAAGAATTTTACCTACTTAGGAAACTGAAAAGTAATCTATCTCCTTGTAGAGCTGTGCAGATTTTAGTTCTACCTGGAAAGGAGCTGCTGCACACAACGGGAGAAGATGAAGACTGCTATTTTAGTTTCAGGTGTTGTCTTTTTATGTGGGGTTGAAGTGATTCTGTGTTAACAGCCTATGAAATTCAGAATTGAGCTTTGTGCAGTGGGAGTTGTGATTTAGGAAGAGGCTGAAAGGAGTTAGCTGGTGCCCAAGTGAGCAGCAGGCATAGATGGAAGCACTGCGACTTGGAGCACATCTGGATGTTGTCCAGCTCAATATAGTTCAAGTCTCCTGTGAGTACAGGTCAGTGCATACTTTCAATTAGTGTTGTTCTTGAATGAAAGTACTGAGATACTAGTTGTCAAGTAAACCTTAGGAGCTGCAAGTAGAAATAGATTGTTTAACAGATGAAAAAGACTATTTCTGTTGATTATGTAAAGCCATGGTAGTACTGCTTTAACATTTTAATGACAGGTATGATTTAACATTAGTATTGATAACTAGACTCAGTTTGCAGTGATCTTGCTTTTGTTTTGTTGCTTGTCTCCACAGCAATGTTTCCTTCCTATTCATTACCAATCTCTCCTAGTTAGATGGGCCTGTAAACCTTTTATGTTGAGAAGGCAGAGTGAAGGTTAATTAAAGTCTGAGGATTCTTCCATCCATTTTTAGAGCTGTGCAGTGAAAATCTAGCTCAGTATACCTCAGCTAATTTAGCAGAAGCTTTGGATTTCTACTAGCTGTATCAGGTTGTTTATACAATCCTAAGTTATATCAGTCATCAAAATAATATATGTAGCATTTTGATTTAACCACAGGTATGCTTAGGCTGCACGTGCTACATTATTAAGGAATATCACCAGTTAATCTTAGAAGTCATACTTTAATGTTAGTATGAGGAAACTGGGGAGGGAGGAGCCCTAGAGGCAGAAAGACAAAGTGAATGAGGGTAAGAAACTTCTAGCTTAAAGAATAAAGTGGTTTGTTTTAATGATAGTGATTTTGAGAGAGTTTTTTTTTTTTTCTGAAATTGTAACACCATGTGTTTTATCTAGAATTAGGGGACTGCACAAAATTCACTTCCCTGAAATACTTCTGAAATATTGATGTGCTAGGCATTACATATATCTGCTTTGCAAGCACTTGTTAGCACAGTTATCTTTCTAGGGAGGTTGTTTATTTGACTCAATGCTTAGTATTACTTTTTCCTGCCCTCCTGACACAGGTCAGTGTTGTCTTGAAGTCTTTTGCTGTCTTTGCAGTGTCGGAAAAATTACTGAATGGAGTCTTGAAAGTTCATGCTATGGAAATTCCATTCAGGCAGAATAGTCAGAACAATACAAAATGGGGTGTGTGTGTGTTTTTTTTCTTCCTTTTTTTTTTGTTGTGTGTCTGTAATCAAGGAACCATCCAGAACTCTCAAATTCACTGAAGAATTGCAATGATCCACTAGAATTTTGAGCACTAATTCTTGGTGTCCTGTTCTGAAAGGGGTGCTAGGAGGGTCACAGATACTGAATTATTCTTAAGAGTACTGAGTTACTGTCATAACTATTTTAGCAGATAGGTCAACTTACAGCATTAGGATTGAATTTAGAATTCTGAGTAACTACTGCAACAACTTGGAGGTGAGATTCTTCAGTGTTAGATGTTCTTCTGCCTTCAGCAGGTACAAGTCAACCTTGTTGCTGTGCTGGAGTAAGAGCTATGGGTGACAGTAAGGACCTTGTTGTACCTGAAGGGAAGCTGAGGTGTTGGCAGCCTTTTCTTTGTGCATTTAACTTCCCAACTTTTAATACCTGACATGTCCCCCACTGCTATCAATAAAAAATTCCATTTTTTAAACAGAGATACAAATACTTCATGACTTATTTGGTAGTAAGTAGGCATTGCTGTTCTTTTGAGTGATAAGCTGTATGAGGTCTCCTTCCTAATTCTTTTCTCAGAGTTAGTTATGAGGAATTAAATAAAGCGTTACTGTTTTCAAATGGTGGCAGTGAATATATTTTAATGACTTGTGAAGTTTTCTTTGGTTATAGTTGAAATGAATCAGATATTGATGGAAAAGTTTAGACTGAAAGGGTAGTTTTGAAGAGTTACGACCAAAAAAATTTGTTGATGTTGTTGTCTCAAAATTGATGTCTTACAGATTTCATGTATTTTGTCATTAATAGGTGAACATTATACCACTTATAGGCAAAGCAGACAGCATTTCTAAAACAGAACTGCAGCAATTCAAGAGGAAACTCATTGCTGAATTAGTTAGCAATGGTATCCAGATATACCAGTTTCCAACTGATGATGAAGCTGTTTCTCAAATTAATACTATCATGAATGTAAGTGGAAGTAATGTCAATATTTCAGTATTAAAGCATCACTGTAACACTGATTTATGCCTGTTCTTCTGTGGCTGTGTTGAGGTTTATGGCTTTATATTTTTTGCAAGTTGGTTATTTATTTTCTCTTTCTTTAAATGACTCCCATGCTTTTGGGCTCCCCCTGTCCCCCAGGTTTCCCTGTCCCTTTGCTGGTTGGTACTGCTTGTTTTAGGAGGCTCCTTGTTTTCTGGTTCTGGAAAGAGGATCTTACTCATAAATACTTTCCCTTTTTCTGGATGTTTAATGTACATCTACTAACATAGATAAACTGATCTGCTCTTTTTCATAGTGAATGGTACCTTACATGTTTTAGAGAAGGTAGTCAGGTGACTCATTTCTCCAGTTTTCTCTGTTTTTTATGTCTGCAGAACTGTTTTCTGTTTGCTTTTTCCTTTTTGTTGTTGTTACTTTCCTTCCATAGCAGGACAGATTATCTTCAGGAATCACAAAGTCAGGTGCACTCCAAGCTCTTTCACTGTTGTGCTTTCAGATCTACCTTGTCATTTTAAAATGAGCCTGTAAGCTAAAGCTGGGTGTTCGGAGCATTCTAGCTGTACTCGCTCCTTTTGTGGTAGATTTTTTTACCCTTTGTTTATTTCTGGATTGCTTGCTTTTCATTTGTTACGTAAGAACACTGAGATAAGGCTGTGTTGGTGTGACTCTTGCAGGGGCATTTACCTTTTGCTGTAGTGGGAAGTACAGAAGTGGTGAAAATTGGAAACAAAGTGGTGAAAGCTCGTCAGTACCCTTGGGGCATTGTACAAGGTAAATGAATTCTCAAGTGTATGACAGTGGTGGCTACTAACAGCCTCTATGAATGTCAGTTAATCTTATAATTAAAAAAGACCATAAAAATATGCAGGTCATCCTGAAAGTAATGTGTCATGTTTTATTTTGTTGGCTTACAATGTAAGAGGCAAATGTTGGTGGGATAGCAGTAGAGGTTGAACCTTCCTGCCAGTATTCACTTGCATTTTATTGCCATGTGATACATGGCAGCAGAGGGGCAGTCTGAAACAGTGGCATCTGACATGGAAATGCTCATGAAGCAAAGGGCTGTCATTCAACTCCTCCATACAGATTCATCAACACTTGCTGAACACTTCTGGATACCATAATGGTGGATGTGAGCAATGCGGAGGTGGATGCTGCATTTCAGCAATAGCAGAAGCAACATGAAAGACAAGTCGTGTTCTGAATGGCCATGCACAGCAGTTCTCCACAAGATACAGAGCATTTCGATTAGCTCATGCATGCAGATTGGTAGATTATGACAGGGAAGTGTATATGGAACTGAGTATCAGCTTCAGTGATGGTGGCAGTATTGGAATAACACAAAGTTTGCCCCCCGTGGGTCCCATAAATGCTCAAACAGGGGCGGAAAGAACACAGTATGCGAGTTTGTTGGGACCTACTGAAGCAATACTGGGCTTAAGGTGACAGTTTCCTGGGTCACATCATTACCTGTTATGAGATGTGGTGCCACTGCTATGAGCCGGAGTCAAAATAGCAATCCATAGGGTGGTGATGTGAATTCCCTATCAAATAGAAGGTTCAAGACATGGCGGGTAAAGTGATGTGCAGTGTCTTTTCTATAGGAAATGGTTGTTCCTTCTGGATTTCCTGGAGCCTGAGCAAACCGTTGACTGATGGCTACATTGCAGTTGCTGACTGAGCTGAAGCCTTGAACTTCTAGAGAAAAAGATAACCACACTCACCATGTAGTTTGGATTTGGCACCTTCTGACTTCCATCTGTTCACGCTGACAAAAGATGGATTTTGTGGGCAACATTTTCTTAGCAACTGCCATTACAGCAGCTGTGAAGCAGTGGGTCACCTCTGCTGATGTAGATTTTTACAGGCATGGCACATAGGGTCTTGTTTATAAGTGGTGGAAGTGCATAGCTACTGGTGGTGTCTATGTTGAGAAGGAGTGTTTTGGAGCTGAGGATGGGCTCTCTCAAATAGTGTTATTGTGCTCCTTGTATTTGTTGTCATTTCCATGGAAATAAATAAAAGTCGTTACTTTTGGAGTGACCTGCATATTTTTATGGTCTTTCTTAATTGTAAGATTCATTGATATTCACATGATCTGTTATTAGCCACTACTGTCATATGGATTGTATTTTGTATAAGCAGCTTAGAGAATTTAGAAATTCATATTTGAAGTCTGCAGTTCCAACATTGATGCTTTCCTGGAATCAAGCCATATGATGCTGTATATGATATTTGGGTTGGTTGATATTATGGCAGTGCCTCTAGCATTACCAGATTGTAAGGTTTCCTGATTGTCAGAAGAGAAAAAGAGAAATTAATAGTTGCTCAATTCAAATGTGAAATCAGGACATACTGGAACATGTTCAGTGGTACATACGGTTAGTGCTTCAATTTGTGTATTAGAAATCACAAGAAAGTGCAGGAGATACAAGAAGTACAGATCCTTTTTCCTAGAAGTGTAGTCAGTGAACAAAATAGAAGAATCTCAATGGTATTTAAAATATATTTTGACAATTTCTGTACTTGTGTATGATGATCCCTCTTTTAACTGATTAGTGGAAAATGAGAACCACTGTGACTTTGTGAAGCTCCGTGAGATGCTTATTTGCACAAATATGGAAGATTTAGTAGAGCAGACTCACACACGCCATTATGAGCTGTACAGGAGCTGCAGACTGCAGGAGATGGGCTTCAGAGACACTGACCCTGAGAACAAGCCAGTAAGGTAAGAGTCTTATTGTACATTAAGTTATTTACAGAGAGAGTGGTGAGGTGCTGGAACAGGCTGTAATAACAAACATTTAGCCTTTTTGGGTCAAGTTATCTCTTATTATACTGTAAGAAGTTGTTATTTGCAGGTTGTTCCAGAGTAGAGTAAAGCAAAGGGTTAGAGACACTCAGCTGTTCGTGCAGTAAAGCTGTTTTCTGTAGGAAGTACTTCTAATTTCTATATCCAGTTTATTTAATCTGTTATTTTCAAATCCTTCCTCTCTTTCTTCCAACTTCCTTTGGTCATTTCATATGTAGAGCTGTATTTTGTAAGTGTGCAAATTGTTATCATCCTGATGGGGAGAAACTCATGCTTTGGGAATCTTCAGTCTTCATGATTTAGAAGAGTGCTGTTACCACATAGTCACTGTGGAAAATACCAGCTTAAACCAGGCATGAAAACAAAGTATGGATTTGCATTAAAAACAGTTTCTAATACTTGGAACCAGTTGGATTTTTAACTTGTTTCACATAGCAATTCAGAACGTATTTAAGTGTTCTGGTAGAAATAGCTTCCCTTCAGATTGTTTTTAGCAGCTTAAATTCTTTGCTTTCAGCTTTACTTTGTGCAGAAGTTCTAAAGAAGTTGCAGTTACTTTAACTCGTAGTGTTGATGGAACAGCATTTCTTTCACTAAGTCTGATTTCTATATTGTTCAAGGTGATCATTAAATAAGAAGAATGTATCAAGGAGGATGCTGGACGTGGGCACTTTCTGAAACCTTAATGCTTGAGTAGTTAATTTAGATCTTAAGCTGACCATGAATCACTGTGACATTTCTCTTGACTTAAAAAGAAAGAAATAAATCCTTTTCATACATAGAGACCAAAGGTGAATGAGGTTTAAAGCTCACTGTAATTGACCATAGACTTTTCATTGGGTTTGAGAACACACGCTAACAGCTGATACCTTATTTTCTTTGTCAAAGGAAAGCGTATAGATTTGTTCATGGGGATATTGACTGCAGTACCTTTTGCTTTCCTGAACTTGAATTTCACAGCCATTGTACAGCCATTTCAAACTAAGAATTCTTAAATTAAAAAAAAAAATGTCCACAGAACTATATTTTTTTCCACAAATACAAGAGTTGTCTTTGCAGAACCCTTAAACAGTTGACACTTTGTTAACCACGTAAAGTAGCAGGATAGTCTACTTTGACATCAGAATGTCGTAGTATTTTACATGTGTGAAGTTGATTTAGTGAAGTTATAGAAAAGATTACTTCCCTCTGGTGTGTAATTTTTATGCATGGGCCACTAAATGTCAGCTTATTAAGAGTGCTGGGGCAAGACAGCACTCTTTAAGAATTATTTTTGGCAAATCACGTCTGTTGGAAATATAACTATTTTGGAAGGATAAGAATAGTATTGCATGCAAATCCAGCAACATAAACTTTTTCCCCAGTTGACAGAGAAAGGAAGAAACAAGTGGGACCTGATCTAGGATGTTTGTCCCTTAGTTGTGTGGCATGGTGAAAGACACTGAGGTCTGAAATGGAAGGCATTTGGTCATTTGTGAGAGACATTTTATGATACCATAAAAAGGGAAGAGAATATAGCAGATCTGTATGTGACATAATTAGTAACCTCATCCATAAGGTGCTTTATGAAGCTGCTGATGAAACCATGAAGTGCGTTATGCTCAGTGTGTGATGGAAAAATGCCACTTTCCATAGAGGAAGCTCAATGGGTTTTATTTTCCTGACTTGCAAATTTAAGTTTCTGTCACAATAGGGGCTGTTTGTCCTTTAAGATGTTTACAGTTACATGCTCAGGAATTGTAAAAGGTTTAGTTTTAGTCTACAAATAATACAAATAGCAGTATATGAGTGTTAGAATTTCATGTCTTATATAGTGATCGGAATTCATATTGAAAAGTCACATTTTATGCCTGCGATGTAGCTGCCTACATGCTGAATTTGATAATCTGAGTTGGATTGCTTTATGAGAGCTTCAGAAAATGTTACAGCACTGATGTTTGTAGCATTTAAACATTGACACTTGAGGAGGTAACGTGCCCTGTTTTTTGGCATGAAGTACAAAAGCTAGTTGTGGAGTTCTTGTACAAGGATGTACTTGGATTTAAAAATACAATAGTAGTTTATTCATCCAAAACCGTATGTGGGTGCAAAGCAACGTCAGTAATTCTTGGATTTTCAGGTACCTTCCGGGATGGGTTACAGTTGGACATCCATAAAGGCTTCAACTCTTCCATGTGGAAAAAAAACCAAACCATTATCGAATTTTATTTCTTATGGGACACATGAAGACCTTCTTTTGTGTGTGTGTGGGGGGGGGCTGTCCAGTCCTGCCATTTTGATGGTCTAGTTACTTCCACTAGGAAATCTTAGACTGCAAAGTTGTCAACCTCCTAGATTCAAATCATTCTCAGCAAGAGATGACTGTTGAGACACCTAGAGTAGAGAAGTTTGGGGTGGTAGGAAACAGCAATTAGATATGAAGACTACTTCCAGCCAAACAAATGTCAAAATATGTGTGTCTGGAAAGCTTAGAAGTTTGCAGGGGTGGAGAGGACTATTAAATTATTGAATTTGGGTATTTTGTTAGTCCACTTTTTGATTGCAAACTGTGTTATTGCCTCAGGGAGCTCTCCTGGTTTGGAAGGAAGAAAAATGATAGGCAAGAGTGTTGAAAAAAGGTTGATATTTGGGCTGTTTGCTTGCATGTTCTGATTCTCTGATGTTAATTATTCTCTAGTGTAGTTGTTTTTCTGTGTTCAGAAGGTACAGTTTCTTCATCTTAAATGCTTCAGTTTCTCAGTATGTGAAGTACCTTCCCTTATTACTCTCTAAAACTGGAGTATTCAGACCTGGTAGTGATAGAACAAAAAGAGGTTTGTTTTCAGTCTGTTTTGAGGATGCAAGGAGAACAGGAAGGATTCAATCAGAAGTTCCCATGTAGAGGATCTTTGTATGATTCAAATTGTCTTTTCTAAGGAAGGAAAACAACGTATCTAAAAGTCTATTAGACTTCCTCAGGAAGTCCCCTGGATTTGGAGTTCATCTGACCGAGTGTTGATCCTTGCATTCAAGCTAAATACTTTAACCTCTGTATGGGAAGACTGAACTCCAGCCAAAATACATGGGTTTGTTTCAAGCCTTTGTTGGGAAGATGGTAATTATTTAGATCTGCCACATCCTAAATGTTGCTTCATAGCAACATAGTCCACTGAGTCACAGGACTGTGCTAGTGATACCTGCTACTAGTTAACTTTTTTTTTATGATACACTTTCACTGGTATTGAAATGTTATATAGAAAGTTCCAGGAATATTTTTCAAACTTGAAAATCGTTTTAAGTTTTAAATGAACAAACTGCAGAACAGTTTGAGTGTCTTTCTTATCCAGAGTCAACAAAACACACAACAGTTGTGTTCCACCAAGCTATGAATTTCACTTCAGTTAGAGTCTCAGTCTACGAACAGATTGTGCCTGATTTGCATCTTTATTTTTGGACTTCCATGTTGGAAGCCTTATGCAAATAAGAAAGCTATACGTGACAGCTTTTCTCCTGTAGAAAGGTAGGTGATAAGTGTTGGTAGGAGCCATGTAATGGGTTAGTAAAGCATAGGCTTTCTTTGCAGAGTACAAGGTATAAAATTATTGAGGTCCAACCAAGAAAAATGAGAGAATGCATGATAATTTTTTAAAATTAATTTTTCATAGTTTTTAAACATGTAATTTGATTGTGTGGTAAACCCAGTGTCTGCAAGGTTAATCTATTACTGATATCAAGACTTCTCCTTTACTGATTTTATCTGATAAACTAGCTTAGATTGAGTCTGAAGATGTCCACATGCTGAAATAAGATGCAACTGCAGCGTGTTAGTTTAGTCGAGTCTTTGCTTTAGCTTTTTTGCTGCACTACACCCAAAGGCAGAGTGCTTGTTAGCACAGCTGACACACAGCAAGGCTGCTGGCACTTGAGTAACCTGTGCTGTAGCTTTATTGTTACTGCATGTGCTGTCTGAACTCAAAGGTGGTGTGAAAACCATGTCCGTATTTCAAGTGGAGATACAAGGCTAAGACCTACATTGATTTAAAAAAAACAACACCACAAAACAACAACAACAAATCAAACCAAAGCAGAATGTTGTCCTGCTGAACTCATTTGGTTGCAAAGTATCACTCAGATATTGTTGGATAGGAAAAGAACTTTTTTACTTTGTGATCTTACAGAATTTTAAGTCTTCACGTGCAATTTCAAGATGATTATTCTGTCTCCTTAGGTTATATTTTGAATAATAGTAAGTGACGTTAGGATTGGGAAACTATTCAGTCATCTTAAAATACAGAAGAAAGAGATTTCAGCTTCCTGTTGGTCTAAATAATTGAGTTTTTAGATGTCCTGTGTCGTCTCTCCATTTATAAATCCTTTCAGTAAAAATTGTTAAAAACTAAGAGTGAGACTTCAAACTTGGTACAAAAGTGTGTGTATAATGCATTTAATTTTAAATAAATAATATAAAGCAGTAAAGAATATAAAGCAATGTTGAGTATTTTATGTATGTTTTTAATGTAAGAAATATATACATATAAATGTATTTTACTTCAGAGTGAAGTGCGTGAAAGACAGCAAACAAAGTAATAGTAATTGGGGATATCTGAGAGGCTGGCTAGTAAGTTTTAAGGAAGTATTGAATGGTTTACAAGAGCAGCCCCAGAATAAAGAGGGAGTTGTTCTGATGTTTCTGCGTGTCCTTTTCCCCTGCAAGAAACTGGAGAGATCCTTTTGGTTTTATTATAACCATAATTGCAGCTCTGATCCTCCATGTTTGCTTTTGTGGAATCATGTGATTTAGAGAAGTTGTAAAAGTTTTATTGAAAGAATTTGTAGCACTAAACAGGTATGCTTTTTGAAGTTACTGTGCCCTGCTTTTTGAAGTTACCATGTTCTTTGGGATAGGAGATACAGGCGTACACAGGCTGTATTCCTTTTTTCCCAAGCAGAGCTTTGCTGGCAGAAAGTGGTGGTATATACCCTGAAAGTATCAACTATGTGAATTATCAGCATATTTTAATTTGCTATGGTACGCGTGGATACAGAGAAATTTCTCAATTTTGAGTACCTGTTTTTCAATGGAAAGAAAATTTTCTTGCATATTGCAATGTCTATTAGAGTAAGTTTGGAGAATGTGGAAGGAAAAACGTGGAATACAGGGAGTGCTCGAGGATGTCATCGTGAGATCTGTCTCAATTATTTCATAATGACCTTGGGACTGGAAACTGGCTCACATTCTTCCAGTTTTCAAGAAGGGCAAGAAGGAAGACCCTGGTATCTACAGACCTGTCCATCTCACTTCAGGGCCTGGCAAAATTGTGGAGAGTATTACTGTGGGAGTCATTGACAAACACCTGAAAGACAGCACAGTCACGGGTCACAGCCAACATGTGCTTACAGGGTAAAGTCCTGTTTAACAAACTTACGGCCTTTTATGACAAGGTTACCCACTCAGCTGACTGAAGGGAACCGGTTCACGTCATCATTCTGGATTTCCTCAAAGCTTTCAATATGGTTTCTCACAGTATTCTCCTGGAGAAAATGTCTGACATGCAGCTAGATGAGTAAATGACATAGTGAGCAATCAGTAGTTGCATCCAGATGCACTGTGTTTGTAACGTCCCGTGTTAAGGCTGAGGTTTCACAATGTGGAAGTTTTGGGAGGATTTTTCTCACAATTTCAGTGTCTTGATTAGTAACTAACTTCTGCCTCCAGTGCGAATAACTTGTATTTGAAAGTTACAACTAGAATGTGAGATTTCTCAAGTGCTTTATTTACTTTGAAAAGTAAAGTACTGTTAGCTTTGATATTTTTTGGTTTTGCAAGGTTATTTACTTAAAGCTAAGAAAACTCAGAAACCTGTTTCTGCTGAAGTCTATGAATTATTACGTGGAGAACTATGATACTTTATATCTCAGATGCATTTGATTTGTTTAAATAACGTTCCAGATTGTTAATTTTTCACACTGAATTGAACAGTTTGCTGGAGACCTGCTTATGTTTTTGGACTTCAGTCTGCAGGAAGCCTATGAGGCAAAGAGGCGCAAGTTCTACCTTGAGCTGCAACGAAGAGAGGAGGAGATGAGGCAGAAGTTTGTGCAGAGAGTGAAGGAGAAAGAAGCAGTATTGAAAGAAGCAGAGCAACGAGTAAGTGTGCTGGTCTGTCGTGAGTTTGTGTGCTGAGATATGGAACAGCTCTTATTAAAATCACAACTAGTTGATCTTCTAATCAACTAGTTGATTTTCTAGTCGGTGGCAGTAATGCTTAAAATCAAAAGCAGATTGACTACAAAGATTAGCTTAGCACGTTGATTAGATGCTCAGAAATAAATGGCAAACTTTTATGGAATGAGAGAGGTTATGGTGTGCAGCATGTTTAGTTGATAGCTGGGACAAGACAGTAGGAAGGAATATGGTGATGAATATAATGGTGATGTGTTTGTTATATCAGCACAGCAGGTGCTTTTCAGGCTTAGGTTGCTGGAAGAGTAACCTGTGTGTTGGGGCCTCTAAAAGTCACATTGCAGCAATTTATGACAGTTAGCCATGGCCTCGTCGCTAATGAATCATGCAATTACAGTTATTATTTTTTGTCCATTACAGTAGAATTGAGTTTTGTGGTGAGATATTAAACAGAAAAATATTGTTGTCTGAGATCCCTTCCTGCCATGTCCCATGAGTTCTTCTCACCTGCAGATTGAAGGGGCTCGTTCTTATATTACAATAATAGTAGGTTCAGATGCATGTTTTAAGTACAAAGGAGACTTAATATACTGTATTTTCTAAACCTGTGTAGCCCCCTGTGCTAGTGGTGGAGAGTATCAGGTTCAGTCATTCTCAGTAGGAGGCTGTCCAATTGGAATAATACTTGTTTGTGTTCAAAATAGACACAGCTAAGTTTTACACATTATCTGTGATACCCTTTGATGTTGTTCCTTCTGTGCTTTATACCGTGCAGTTTCTGTGAGCTCTGCATATTGCAGTTGAATTATGGATATTTATTTTCCCAGTTCCTGATGTCAGAAAACAATAATGCAGTCACTTGCAAAGAACATTTGTCATATACCCTGCTGCTGCTCGTTCTCCTAGAAGTGTGTATGTGTATATGGAAATAAGAGAAAAAGAGGAGTTTCCATTGTACTCAGATGGCTTTTGTGTCCTTCATTTAGAGGAAACTTGTACTTACAATGTGCAGCATTACTGCTCTGGAGTGGTACAATTGCTTTAGGACCTTATGTTTTCTACCCTGAGTTATTTGTTTTATTGCAATGCATTGGATTAACTGTAGTAATGAAATAAATGATGAATAGTATACACAGTATAGACACATCTATAAAACCTGACAGCTCTATTGTATAGGATAGGCATACTGATATATTTTTACATTATTATTTTTGCTCTTTCTTTGTGCAAGATGGAAATAAATCTGACTTTTGTACCTCTATAGCTGCACTGAGTCATACAACTTCTGTATGCTAGAACTGGTTGCCCAGAGAGGTGGTGGATGCCCCATCCTGGAGACTTCCAAGCCAAGGCTGGATCAGCCCCAAGGCAACCTGATGGAGCTGTGCATGTCCTTGTTCACTGCAGGGGACTTAGAACACATGACCTTTAAATGTCCTTCCAACTCTAAGGATTCTGTGATTCTATATTGACATAATTCAGGCGCACAAGCTTTGTGCCTCCGCAAGCACTTGAGTTCACTTGAGTCTGAAGCTGTGCATGTAGCTTCTACATGTTTAATGTTATTGGTTGGATCAGAGAAATGACGTAGTTGAAATCCAAGAGTATTTTGGTAGGGTTATAGTTTTCATCCAGATGAGCATCTTGATCCAGCTGGTCAGAAGGGCACCAAAGCAGGGGTAGGTGGGAGGTGAGAAAGAGGCAGGCAGTACTCCCTGGTTACCATGCACAATTACACAAGTGTGTTTTAACAGGTCAAATACATCCAAGGCTAGAATCCATTAATACATCAAAAAAACCCTAAAGATTTTTGGTTGCAGAAAAGCAGTTAACTTCTGGCAGGTGACAAGTAACTCCCCAACCTAATTGTGTGTATACACATTAATACATACATGTAATTAATGAACATATTAAAACACATACCCTATATAAAAGAAGTATACGTGGTTTCTTGCCCGCCTGGTTTAAGGAAAGTGGATTCTGCTTCACACTTTCTGATTTAATATTTTTGTTTCCTTTCTAAAGGAATCCTTGTTTTTGATCTAAGAAAGGTACATCCTGCAATAGATCTAATACTAATGTAGCATTTTCCATCATTTCAACCCTCATTTTTTGTGTGGTAGCCTGGCATCCATAGGAAAAATGCAATATAAATCTGATATATTCTTCTGGATTGCTGATTTTTGGGAAAGAATGCAGTTTTTTGTAGTTTTAACATTAGCTGAGGTGGTTTTTACTGGAATTGCAGTGCTTTTGTATTGTGATATCGCCACCCTGTGTTACTAGTTGGAAATGCATTTTCTGTGCTTTCAACAGATACAGGCTAAGTTTGAACATCTTATGCTAGTGCATCAAGAGGAGAAACTGAAATTAGAGAAGAAGAGAAAAGCTTTAGAGGAAGAAATCGCTCTGTTTAACATGAAGAAAGCTAATGCTGAATTACTCCAAACACAGCCAATGGTCTCTACTCCTGTTAGCTTGAAGAGAGACAAGGACCGCAAAAAGTAAGTGCTGTTAGTCATCAGAGATAGCAATAGAAAAATCTTTCACTTTTGTAACACAAATTCTAGTCACCTTTTAGAGAAGACGTGAATGTGCTCCTGTTCTGTTCTGTGCTTGCAATTCTGTCATGCTTCGATCTCTGCCTCTAAAATTAACATTTAGAGTAATTGTTGTATATTCTGTGAGCATTCTTTTTATTTTTTTCCCCTGCCCCCCCTATGAAGGGACAAAGGTTTTCGACTTGAACTGCTGTGTTTTGACATCACAAAGGAAGAAGTTGTGAATGGTCACAAACAGAGCAAGAGGGAGAAGTTAGAGAGGGAGAGAAATTCTGCCAGGGAATTCCAGAAATAGTATTGGCTGCAGCAGCATTCAGATTTTGAATGTAGGTTGCATCAGCTTTGTGAAGTGACCTGTCTGCTGCTGTCCCATAGTTCTAGATTTGTCTTCCTGTTACAGACTTCTCTGAGGAGTGATTAATAAAATTGGTTCTAAAAATGACACTGTCTACAGAGTATGATCTGATGCACGCTTCGCTTGATGCTCTTTCTGTCTCCACACCAAAACAAAAGCCTGAATAATCTGTGAAATTTTAGAGATGCTTTCAGAAATAGTCTCCAGAATAAATGTGCTCATCTTCTTCATTTATAGACATTAAATAATGTAAATAGCAGATGTTGTCAGTTTATTATTCTCCGTTCCTGACAGGTTTCTGTTTCATTGTGGATGTGATTTTGTTAATATCTCGTGGCACTTAAAAGCAGGTCTTTTGTACACAAGTTATGCATAACTCCTGGAGTATGAAAACCTGCAGAAGCTTTGTGGGTGCTCGTACTTCCAGAAATATCTGCAAGACAGCTTTGAAGTTTTGGGATGCATGCCAGAAGCCTGCTGCTGGTTTTTGATAAATTTTATTGCATTTCAAATAATGGCACTGAATTCCTATTCCTAGACTTCTTTTTTTAAATTATTTTTTTCTGGAAAAGGGGAATTATGGGTAACAAAAGTGGTAACCTGTACTGTTGTGATTAACTCACGAGTTCAGGAGATTTCCAGATGTTTTCTCTGGCTTAGTTTTATTTCTTCAGAATACGTTACAATTCATACGCTTGCTTTTGTTTTTCAGTTCCAGCTTTACGTAATACCAATGATGGAAGAATGATAATTTATTTTGGGGAAGCCGTGATGCACAGTATGGTTTTGGAGGTCAAGGAGTTGCAGTTTCTTTCTAAAGGAATTGGACAGTCTCTCTTGGTTGCTGCAGGCTACGAGAGAGTTCTTAAGTTTGAGCAGCACGCACATGTGTGACAATGGCAGCTGTCTGTGGACTTTCTTGTATGCGTCTGCCTTGATGCACACTTGCTTCATGTACGTGTGGCCAGCTTTGATTTGTTTTGTGTGCATTGTACCAAAGAAAAGATGCGTGCTATGAACTCTTCCATTCATAGTATGAATGCCTTAGTACGAAAGTATTGAGTGAATAGATCTACTCTGGCCTTTCTAAAGAGTTATTTTCATGTGACGTACTAGTCTACTAAATATTACTTAATACAAGTGCTGACATAATGTAACCATTTACTTATTTTGCTGACAGTTGTTTATTTATAGGCTTTTATTTACAAGTGCTGTCCTCATTCTCAGATGCAATCCATTGAGATATTTTGCAATGCTGCACTGTTGCATGATACTTTATCTAATGTTACTTACAATTTGGAAAGTACCCACAATTTCTTGTTGTGGTGTCTGGTTACAGCAGAGATTAAACTTTACACTGTTAGCTTCAAGAGCTTTGGGTTAAAACAACTTTCAAACTTCTTTTTTGTCTTTTGAGTAGTCATAGTAACAAATGGGAAACATTCTCCAGGAGCTGCAGTCCTCTGAAATGGTTTTGTAGGACTTTTTAAAAATGAAATACTAAGTTGACAGAAATAAAATACTTTGGTTTTGCATAAGCGTTGCTGTTGTTCTTCCTATCATTCCCATGTTACTAAAGTCAATGTATAAAGGAAAAGCTCAAATGCTTTTGCATTTATTGATTGGAGAAAATGTATGACTGTGCATACTGTCTGAAGAACACTGTGACTCATCGGTGCCCCTGTACTTAAATCCAGAACTTTTCAGTCTTATTCAAGCAGTGCTGCATATGAAATTGCTTTCCTTTAATTCCACAGCAATGGGAAGGAATATGGATGAGGTATGTAAGCCCTTAACTGACCAGAGAAGGGTCCAGTTGTGTTTGTTTTCGGTTGGTTCCACAGCCCCAGCAGGCTGTGGCATAGGAGGGAAAGGTTAAGAGGAGACACCCATTTAGTCCACACGCTCCTCCAGCATGTAAGTGGCACTTCTTTCATGAGAAGAAAGCTGGCTGGGGCCAGGCCCTGTGGTTGTTGCCTGTTTGCTCCTTCCTGAGCAAAATTTTGCTTGGGAAGAAATGTACTTTTTGTTTTGCCTTTGTACTATTGACTGGGCTGTCTGCTTCTGTTTGATTAGAAACAGGGGACGTGCCCTGCTTGACAGAGGTAACAGCCACGTGGAAGAAGTCTGTTTTTTTGAGCTCAGCAGTTGTGTGGACGTGTTGCCCTGTGACCTTGAGCAGAATAGTTACAACTGAGTGATGTGCACCGTCAGCTTGTGATTGTAGTGTGGGTTCTTCCAGCTGCTGATGTAGACAGTTCAAGTATGGTTCTTCACATGCATTACAAAAGCAGAGATGAGCTGGCTATAGCAGGACCACTACTGGCTTGGGGGTGCAGAAGCACTGGTAGACCCCAGCTTGGACTGGGAACCGTGAGCAGTGCCATATAGGTGCCATGTCTTGGAGCTGTTTTATGCTGAGGGGTGTCTGCATGGGCCCTGCAGGGCTCAGCATCCGAACAAAACTGGAGCAGGGCTTGGGAACAAGCAGGAGTTGCAGGGAGTTCGTTAATGGCACTGTATCCTCTGAGAAGGCCAGTGGGTGTTTGTTTTTCTTCCTGATACTCATTCAAGCAGTGCAGAGTCATCTGTAGGTACGGGTAATTCTGTAATTAATTTAGGCTAGAGATTAGATATGAGAGGACACAAGTGCACAGCACAGTTGGACAGTCAACTGAAGTACCAGGAATTACAAAGGAACAGCTAACTATACTTCACAAAAATGGAGAATTAGTCAGGTAGCCCTGACTGCTAGAATAGTCAGAATAGTCAGGAGAGTCTGTGGATGCCACCTCCCTGGAAGCATTCAAGGCCAGGCTGGAGATGGGGCTTCGAGCAACCTGGGCTGGTGTGAGGTGGCCCTGCCCGTAGGAAGGAAAAAAAGAACCATTTCCATAAGAGCAGTAGCACTGCATCAGTACAAAAAGGAAAAGAAATGAATTGAAACCCTTTTGTGGAAGCAGCAAAACACTGTTAGGGATCGACATTTTCAAGCTTTCAAGCCGGGAAAAAGGCATCAGCACTATTTTCGCTAGGGTGCGCTCAAAGGACGTGGCTTTCATTCCTGGCAGCCGTGACTAGCAAACAAGTGCGTGATTAACTCGAGAGGGTTAAAGTGGTGATGAAAGCGTGTTATTTTGTGGCTGTTCATTATGATACGTTTATCATGACTCCCGTTTTGTGTTGCTGGAGAGAAAATCCAGCATGAGCTTAGACCAGAAATGCTGAGTTCTACTCCTGTTTTTTTGCTGGATTTCCCTGAAATGTTACCAAGGGTATTTTATTTCACCTCAGTCACAGTTTAGCATTCAGAGGGACATTCAGAGGGTATTTCTTTTATTTTCTCTGGGTTTATTTTTACAGTTTTCTGACTTAAAAGCTTTCTGTTGTCCTAACACGTTTACAAATTGCTTAAAGATTGCAGCTGTTTTAATTGCTCAAACTGTCATTCCATTTGTCACCTGCACAGCTAGAAAAGCCAAAGCTGTGTCTCCTTACTGTCACACAGATTATTTAAGGGTGACTGGGAGTAGTCAGAATGGATTCACAAAGGGGAAATAATGCTTGCCTAATGTGATGGCCTTCTGCAACAGATCAGTGGAAGAAGCAAGGACTGTGGATGTTATTTCAACTTCGGGGAGCCGTTTGGTGCTGTCTTCCACAACATCTTTGCAGGTGAACTAATGAAGTGCAGATGAGTATGAAGAGTGGTCTCCAAGGTGTGAGATCCCCAGTCAACACATGGAGACCACTGCAGTGCTCAGTGCTTGGTTTCAGTGCCTGCTGGCAGCTATTGCATTCCCACGTGTTGGGAGCAGGAAATCCTTTTTCTCCCATTAGCCTGCATGCTTTTGGAGGGGCTGATGCTTTCCAATAAGAGGAGACAGAAGGGCAGAGCTTTCAGCATGGCTATGATTTTACTTCCCTGCCTCCGTGGGTTGGAAATGGGGAGCTGGTCCTGACCAAGGAAGAGTTAATTCCCTGTCTCAAAACTCAGAAACAGAAGACAGTCCCATCTTTTTGGAGGAAAATCATTAGCATGTTCAGAAGGAGGGGAAAGAAGTGGCTAAGAGGGTACCCTGCTGGTACTTTGCACACTCATTTGAGTCTACATTTTTCACCGCTTCCACATAGAGCTGTTTTCTTGAGATGGTCACCATTTGCTTCGTTTTGGAAATGCCAGGGGTGGAGAACCATTCTCCCCAGTTCTGGTAAGCACAGTGTGGCAGTGCAGCACCACACCATGGCTTGGGGAAGGGGATTTTCCAGTCACACTGCATTTGTTGTGATCATTTAGATCTTTAGATTCTGTACTCCAAAAGTTCCAACTTCTGGTGGTGTCGCAAGAGGGAATTCTAAATCTGTTTAACAGATGAAACTTCACTAGGCTGGCGAAAGACTGTGTGCATAGCTCAGAAACTGGTACACACTTTAACACAGCGTTAAGGCAGTTCTGAGGAACTGGATCTGCAGTCTTTTTGGTTTGTCAGTGCGGAGGTTTTTTTGCTGTTCTGGGGAAATGTGACAATCCCAGTGCATCTTGGCTGAGCTGCCTGATGAGGTGTGCAGGCAGCTGGAGAGGTGAGAAATGTTGAACCTGAGTCACAACCTTTTCCTTTAGCATTTGTTAGCCTCCCTGTCATTCTGTTAAAGACTCATTTGACTTACAAACTCCGGTGAAGAATTCTTGCTAGCTGCCATCTAGAAACACAGCAGACGAGACTGATGAACTGTGCTGAGGAACACAAAACGCAGCTGCTGTTTCATGACTGTGTTCAAAATAGATGAATGACACCAAAGCTTTGCCCCGAGGTCATATCATTTCATATTCCTAATAATTTAAAATGTGCAACTGCGTAATGCAAGTATGTAAATGTAAAAAATAATTTCACTGCCTGTCTTGATGGATGTCGAGATTGGGATGTTTGTTTTGGCTCTGAAGTTACAGAAGCTTTTTTGTATACAGCTTCTCAAGGAAAATAAAAATCTTACACAAGTTGTGGTATCTTCTGACTGCTCCTCAGTCTTCAGTCTGTTTATTTTCGCAAAATGTATTCAGAAGTGGGAATGTTTTATTTGCATTTATAGATGGAAGAGGAGATCTGTGGTGGGTAGGGTGTAGATTTTTAAGCATAATTTTACATGTAGTTGTGTATTTGTTTATTTGCACACCCTTTATGAAAATGAGCCATGGAAATAAATCCATCATAGCTTTTAATATGCAATTACAGTCGCACAGGAAGTCTGTGATGGAATGAGTGCTTGGACAAACACCCCTTGCTGGAATGAGACAGTGGCCTGCTTGTCCCCTAGATTTCAGTATGGTTCTCAAACCTGCTCTTGTTTTGGCAGATTAATAACAGAGAGAAGCTTTTGTGTATAATGATCTACAGAAGAAGGAAAAAGATGCGATCTGACTTCTCAGTGCTTTGGGTTAGATTTGTGTGAGACTTTTCTATCTGTTAATCTGGGGATGAAATGCTTTCTGCTGTTCCTTCCCCAGTCACTTAGGTGTGAGAGGTACTTGCGTTCGTGTTTAATGTCTTGCTGTTGGAGCAACATGGTCCGTGGTGTGGATGGGAAGCGTCTGTGAATCTGTCCTCATTGGAAGAAAGCTTGCCACAGATAGGCATGCTTTCTATTCTAAATTGTCACTCCATCTTACTGTCATCTTCTGATTTTGTTTAGATAAGAAAGTACGCACTGATCCAAAAAGAAAGCAATGAGCAGGTTAAAGATAATGTCAAATTTTACTCTTTGCTCCAGTATAGATGCAATTGTTTATAACTACGTGAGACCATTTCAGCAAGAGATTAGGAAGACCAATGTCAGGAATTTCCAATCTTGGTAGATAAGTTCATTTTCTGAAAGGTGAGAAGTTTCAAATCCCTGGTCCAAATTAGCAGAGCAAGGAGCTGGATTTAAAAATCTTCTCACACTGAAGCTTTTGTGTGAATGTGTTTCCTTTGGTTCCTCATGGAGCAGGGTTTTCTTGCATTTTTCCATGAACATGCTGTTAGTGAGGCAGGTGCTCCTGTGTGACCGCTGGGAGGCTTGGGACTCACCAGGCAAAACAGGAGTCCTGGTCACCAACTGCACCCAGACTCGGACCTATGTGGCTGCTCACCTTCCTGCCCGAGCCTAACCTGAGCTCTTCCATCCCTGCTGATATGGCTGTGTCAGCCAGGTTTCAACCAAGCAGTCAGCATCTAATGCAACCAGTTCAACTTCACTTGAGCACTCAAGCAAGGACTTTGTTCCTATTTAAGTGGCTGCCAAGCAGGCTAGCGATTCATCTGACTAATGGTGTCTTGTGGCATGGCATGGCAGGGGAGGGAGATGCTGTCAGAAGGCCTCAGAAATTTGAGTGCAGCCTGGATTCTCTACCTGAAAGCAACTTCAAGGCAAATGTGTGATGAACCAAGGCTGTTTGGGCCACCACAATTCAGCATATCAAGTTTTAAAGGCTGCCAGCAAAACCGATGCTCTGCTTCAGTCATTTTTAAAGAAAAGAGGGAGATCCTAATTAAAAGATGAT